TTTTAAGGATGTATTATATCCTCTGATGGCTGATCTCTGACAATTTATGTTAAGTTTCATGCTGGTTTTGTAATATTTTCTGACCTTGTCCATGAATTCTAGAGATGCACTACATTTTGAACCTGTGAATTCTTTCAGGACACAAATGCCACTTTGCAAATCTTGTAGATAATTTAAAAATGCAAGGCGGTAGAGGAACTGGGATTACTTATTTCTAGTTTTAATTCAATAGGAACTGGTTTCATACAATGGGAATCTACAGTGTGTGTGGCCCTATGCTGCACACTTGGTGAATACAAAAGAGGAACCAAATACTGTCCCTGTGGCTGAGAGGTAGCGGTAGAGCAAGTCACCTTAGTAATGTTCAGTAGTTTATTGAACATTCTCAGCCATGAGAGATGTCCTCACCCACTGCCTCTGTCACCCCCATGATGGTTCAGTAATGTTTCTCCTCGTCTTTATTCAGATACAGAGACGGAGACTCCTTGGGTTAATTGACTTGCCCAAGTTCTCAGCTGTGCAATCCAGGATTCAAACCTTAATCTGTCTGAACCAGAAGCCCCAAGCTCTTTTCATTTCCTGCTGTGCCTCAAAGAACCCAAATCTGGAAACACAGGAGAATGGAAATCACTTGGACCTAGAGAACAAGGAAAAAAAAATTTTTTTTAGCTGAATGCATGTTAACTTCCAATTTTAGAACTCTGGATTAGGAAACAGAGCCTCTGCATTTGATGATGGTTTTGCTCAGGGCTTCCGTGCATCTGTTTCTTCTTCAAGGGATGTAGCCGGTCACACCAGCTAATATTTCACATCAGCTCAGATGCTTTTTTTAAATGAGAGGTAACAATGTTGCACAACATGAAAGGAACACGATGACTAGATGTCAGCGCCACAAAATTGCATTCCGGCTTTTATTTTTTATTTGGGGAAAATGGAGAAGCAGTGTGTTTTGCTGGAGAAAAGCAACATCTGCACATTGGGAAATAATTTTACATCCCCTAATATGAAGGTGAGGCTGAAATAGACAGAGATTCTAAAGTCATAATGGCTAAACAAGGCAGAATTTTATCTTGTGCATAAAAATCCAGGAAGCAGCCCAGGACTCCATGGAGTTAAATCCAGTTGCTCTCTTGACACTTTGCTCTCTCAGATCTGGAGTCTATTTTATTAGTCCGTGTTTGCATACACACCATCTACATTTCTTGTGTGCAGTTGGTGTGTGTACACAACACATCTTAATTCATTGTTTCACCCCCTTTCCCTCTCCCTCCTAGCATCTCTTACTCCCCTTCGTATTTGAGAAAGGTCTATTTCTCTACTTCCTATTATCTATCTCTTATTTTGCTCTTTACTTATAATTTGGGTTTTTTGTATAAGAGAAACCATATGATATTTAAAGTTGTGTTGCCTGATTTATTTCACTTAACATTATGGTCTCAAGGTGCATCCATTTTCCTACAAATGACTGAAGTTTATCTTTCTTTATGGCTGAGTAGTACTCTATCTTGTTTAAGAAATGCCACAATTTCTTTATCCATTCATCTGTTAATAGACCTATAGGCTGCTTCTAACATTGAGCTTATTGTGCTGGAATTGTGCTGCCATAAACATGGGTATGCATGTGTCACTGTAATATGATGTCTTTAACTCTCTTGAGATAATACCTAGAAGGGGAATAGTTGACTCAAATGGAGTTGGTTTTTTGAGGAATGTTCATGCTTATTTCAATAGTTTACACACCTACCAACAATGTAGAAAGATTCCTGTCTTCTCCCAGCTTTGCCAGCATTTGTATTTTTGATTTCTTGATGATGCCGTTCTTTCTGGTATAAGAGAGAATCTCAGTGTTGTTTTAATTTGTTTTCTTTAATGGCCAGTGATGCGAGCATTTCTTCATGTGTTTATTGGCATTTGTATTTTTTCTGTGAAGTGTCTATTCATTTCACTTGCCCATTTTTCGACTGGATCTTTTTTGACCCCGAGGCCTAAGATGTGTGTATCTAAGTTCCGACAGTGGTTGGGTGGGGCAGAGATGAAGGGCTAAAGGCACTTAGTTGCCATAACATTAGCCAAAAATGATTGTCATGGCCAAATCAGTGCAAGGGAGATGTACACTTGAATTTAGATGGTTGTATGTTGAGTTAAAAATAAAAAAAAGAGAATATCCATCAGGGCACAGCTAGCCGTCTGCCACCAAGGCCATGGTATTTGACCCTTGCTCTCCCAATCCTAGCCCTTCCTCAAACTTTGAACATCTGCAGCTACTTAGTGGACATTTGGCGTGCACCCAAACCACTAAGTCTAGCTAGAGTTAAAAAGACATTTGTCCTGATTAAAAAATGAAGAAAAACATAATATATTAAAATTAATGATGTCTTGATTTCATCTTAGTGAGAGGGATGATACTGTTTGCCATCTTTCACCAAAGACATCATTTCTGGCATGGTAGAGAGCTGGGGCTGTTGGTCAGATTTATAGATGGTTTCTTTACTTATCCTGCATTTTCACCAAATCAGAAAATCTTAAGTTACAGTTAGTAACAGCGACAAGTGATTGATGACTCTGCCTATTAGTCCTGGACATGCCAGCCAAAAATGTATATGGCAACAAGAGATTTATTGCTGAAGGCTATTTTTGGAATTTTGAAAAGAACATTGCTATACTTGGTGCTGGAAGGTTGAGTGGTTCCTCTCAGGGGTACCCCAGAGAGTCCTCATCTACTTTTTGATTTGGTGTGTTCTGTTGCAGCCATTATGGTTATTAAACCATGTGCACTAGCATGACAATTCTCTCACCACTGAGAGGAGAAAACCATGAGGTGGAATAAAACCTGGACTGGAAGGGTACTTTTTCACAATGTGTGTATAAAATCATTTAAATCTTCCTGGCCTTGGTTTCCTCAACTGTAAAACAGAGATAGCAATACCACCAGCCTTCCAGCATGGTTGTAAATATTGTATGAGCTAAAACATGTAGCTACCTAGCTCAATTCAGGTGTATACACACCCAACAAATGTACATTGTGGCTATTATTATTATTTTTAGGTATTTGTAAGCTATAGGCTATCTACAGTTTTCATACCACAATTCAATATTTTTGTGAAGTACTTGTTTATTATTCTTCATTCTTCTACTTTATTATTCATGAACTTTCATCCGTGGAGTGGACTTAGGTTCCAGATGTTTGAATTATTGAATATAAATTTTGGAGCCACCATTTATAAATAGTAGAAATAATCTATAATAGAAATGTATGTCCTCTCATAGTCATTGTCCTTCAGGGAAAAACAGCATTGCTCGTCTCTTTTTCTGCTATGTATCATGACCTGAGCACAGGACTGTTAGAGGAAGGATGGAGAGATGAATGTGCAGGCGATGGAAAGGCAGTCAGAGCTTAGAATGGTCTCCACTGTCATCTTCAACAGTACCTCCAATCTGCTGAAAGAAACTGTCAATGAGTCTTTGGTTGACCAGTATTGCATGTTTATATTTGTTTTCACGAGAAGTCACTTTGAAGATATCAATATGTAATACAACCACCATTGTTAATTCCCTACCACTTTGTTTGTAACTCTGTATTGTCTGTATTGTGCTTGTGATATGTTGTAAAATGTTGTATGTCTGTTAATGTTTCCCTCCTTTTATCTTTAAAAAAACAAAAAACAAAAAACAAAAAAAACAGTACCTCCAATCAGAGGGTGCTATGGTCACTGAGCAAAAACTGGTTTCTCTGAATGCAGCCAGGGAATGATTTTCAATAGGAGCACCTGCTTCTGTTGACAGGGTTGGTGCCTTCTTGGTCCTGACCTCCATATACTCTGCTTCACAAAACACATGTCTGTTCAGTGACCCCTCGTTTCTCCTAGAGCACACACTTGCAGCAGAGTGAGGCTCTGTACCTCGGTGCCTTCATCTTAATCCAGAGGCAAGTTGGCCAGCCCGCCAGCCTCCTCCGAAGGCCGCGGTGTGCAGATTCTAGGTGCTTCCCAATTGTCACTTCATGAAGGAATATATTATCAGTTAGTTTTGTCCTCTCCCTGAACACAATAGTTATGATTAATTTTCTAGGTAACTTAAGAAGCACCTCCTAAAAATTGGATTCCTCAACCTCCAGATTTTCCTACTTGGTTTTGGTGTGCTTTCATTCCTCAACAACAAAATTGATTACATTAATAGGAGAAAGTAATTTTTTTCTTGGGTGTGTTTGTTCAAGAAAAAAAGTTTTATTGGAAAATGAGGTTGAATCCCAGTTGTAATCTGCCAAATGTTTATAACAGACGAGGCCACCCAGCCCAAATGGACTCTTGGGGTAATAAAACCTAATTTACTTATTACTGCATGTCCTTTCCTCTCTTTCTCACAATTGCTTTTCATCAACATACAGTACAATTACTTGTCCTGGGACAAGGTTCATGTTCTGTGTTCACACTGGAGCCTGGGTCATGATTTATGTTTATGACATTATTTGGGGTTGTGCTCTTTGCATTATTATTTATATCACTGCTGTTAGGCTTAGAAGAGCCACTTTTGTGATTTGGGACTACGGCACAGCACAACAGTTGAATGAAAATACAAACTTGAACAATCAGCAATAAAAGCACATGGATGAAAACAAATTGCCGGCTGTTTGCTCGATGTTATCAATGGTCACCTGACCAATTGTTTTTAAGAATATGAAGAAATTTTTTGGAAAATCATACTTGTTTAGTTTCAGATCTATGAACAATTTTTTTTCTTCTGAGACCACCACATTTTGGGAACACTAACTTATGGTTTCAGAGACCACATTTGGGGAACACTAACTTATGGTTTTAGATGATAGAGTTTCTAGAACAGAATAAATAGATTGGGTATGGATGGGAACTGATTCTTAGTGAAGTTGAAAGGGAACAAACATCAGAAACTGAACAAACAAGCCTCAGCTTCCAGAGCCGGGGAACTGGGAATTTAAACTATGTCCTTACAAATGTTTGCACTTCTTCTTTCTTTGTACCTTGCAGAGTAAAAGCCAGGGATCCGTCTTTGTCCGGATACACGCCCCGTGGCAGGTGCTGGCCAGAGAGGCAGAATTCTTGAAGATCAAAGTTCCCACCAAGAAAGTATGACCATGTTTCTCCTGGGTTCTGGGCCTCCCAAGGGTGGGATGGATGCAAATTTTTTGGGAATAGGGCCAAGTGGGATGTGGGTTTTGTAGAATCGAAATAACACTTACCCCCCTGGGGATCCAAAGTATGTGGCCCTGAGGTGGGAGGGACAGGGATGAGCAGGGTGGGGAGAGATCCTTCTACCTCAGAGCTCTGCCTGTGCTGGGCTTCCTAAAAAAACCAAACACTTCCCAGGTCCAGCCTCTCGTTTTTCTGTTACACCTTCTTTTCCACTCTTCTTGGGGTCCCAACAATGCTAGATATTTCTTCAGAGTGAATATAGAAAGGAGAGAAGACAACAAGCTATGCTGACTGGGTCAGCAGCGTACAGAGAAAACAGCACCAAACATGGCTGGGAGACATGTGTTCTGGTTATGACTCTCCTACTAAAGGTTATATGAAGGGGGTTTCACTTACCTCTTTTGTAGAACATGAGTTCTTAACCAGGTGAGTCAATGACATCATGTGGGAAGTGTTTTCAAAGTATACACTCCAGTGTCTCACCTCTGAGATTTTGACTCATTTGGTTGGTATGGGATGAGATTCTGGCATCACCATTGTGAAAAAATAATTCCCACAAAGTTCTTGTGCACATCTGGACTAAAAATCACACAATTTAGATGGTGTTTGAGGTAGTTTTTCTATTAGAATAGTTAATATATAGTTATATGTAAAAATTTCCCCAGGGAGTTTGTAGGTGATGTGTCCCCTTCTATAACAAAATCCAGCTCTGAAGATAAAGGGAGCTTGTGGTCATAGATTCCCCATTTTCTCTAGTAGGCACTTTAGGGAAAGATGGTGATTGACTTTGACTTATCTGAGATGTCTTTTAAGGAAGGCGCTGGGCAGGTAGTATTATATGGGTGAGTTCTCCTTCTGTCTCTCTCTGTGTTTCTGCCTCTGCATCTGCCTCTGTCTCTGTCTCTCTTAGACACACATCCACACACATCCACATACACATACATCCACACACACACACACACACACACACACACACACACACCACACATCCCTGTAACGTTTCATAGGTGCTGACATACCTTTGCAGGGATCATCTCCATCACTCTAATTACTGTTGCTGTGATTCCACACTCCCCACCATTTACAGAGCTCCATATTTGTTGCTTCTGCATAGCCACAATCACCCCTGTTTTCTCATCACCATCCCCACAATTGGCAGTGTCAACTCCATTTTGGTTTACATTGTTGGCCGTGCTAATCCCATCCTTATTGCCAACAGATCTATGGTCTCCATTGAAAGTCATTCTTGGATACTAGCATGTGACCAAGCTATTACCAATTCCCTACTCAAGAAGAATAGAGTCTTAGGTTCTAGTCTTACGGATTTGTGAAGATGGTCAAAATGAGCAAACACAGGTAGGAATATTAGTTACAAACATCTTGCCAATAAAAAGTGATAAATTTGGGGGAGCTGCACACTTGAAGTGTCCACAAGGACCACACAGATCTTTTGTCTTCTAGTTGCAGGGTGATGTTCTCCATCTCCTACTCTTGGTGCTGTCATTCCTATACCACTGTCCTCAGATGTGGGCACCATCTTTGTTCCTTCTGGACTCCACTCCTCCTCAACAACAGATGCTGTCCCGGGCTTCCGGCTGCCTGACCCAATTTCAGCCCATGCTTTACTTCCCCTTTTCTCTCTCTCTTCTTCCTCCCTGCCCTAGGCTCCCTCTGTGCTCTTGGCACAAGTGGCTGAACCTCTGCACCTCTTGTTTTTCTGGTACCTCAGAGTCCCTCCAGTAGCTTCCTTACTGTAATCCCTCTGGCCTCTGCTTCATCCTTTCATGGGCTCAGACTTTTAAAGCATATTTTAGTTTTATATAAATGACAGATCTGCCTGCAAGGCTCAGGGGCCGTACATATTGGACATTTGGAACTTACCATCTGTGGCATAGGCAGGACTTGTCTTGAATTTGTAGATAGTTGACTTGGGCAAAGGCTTATTGCAAAGTGCCCATCTCTGGGTTTCCTGCCTCAGAAAAGACTTTAGCCTTGGGTACATAGATTAACTCTATGATTTGAGGATGTTGCATCCTATTTCAGAGCCTCAGTTTCCTCATCTGTGATTTGGGCATAATAATTCCTGCTCTATTTTCAGAGAGTGATTGTAAGATTCCACTTCCTAGGGAGTACTGTGGAAATGCAGACATTTGTTATGGTATCTATTTTCTCACACGTTTTTATGTTCCCAATCCCCCCATCAACTTCCTTCCTGACCACAGAGATAGCCAGCACTGACAGTTCCTGCTGTGTAGTGTTTAAGAGACATGGGGGGCTACTGAGCTTGGGGAGCTGAGAGTCACAGGGTGACAGGAAGAGTGTGCAGACCCAGGCTGCAAAGTAGGCGCTGACGCCTGTGTCGATCCCTCTGTCTTTCAGTGCGGTGGGTTAGGGAGCCCAGGGGAGGCTGAGCCATGTGCTCCTATAGGCAGCAGAGAACAGAAATCTGGGTTTCAGATTTGACACAGGTGGACTATTCTGGCATCTGTCCTCAGCTTCAGCCATATGGCCCCTCTCCTCTTTGTATTTGCAGAATGCAGTAGCTTGTCCTTGACCTCACGGGGGTGTTATAAGCAGACGGGGAGGATATTACTTAGTACGCTGTGTTTGGATGCATGTGTTTGTAGAAATTAATCTGAGACTCTGATCCCAAGGGTGTCATGGGGGTTAACCCTTGTTCCCACGCTGACAGAGGGATAAGGCAAGGAGAGGATGAGCCTGTGGAGGGCCAGCGTTGGGCTTAGTGTCATTTTGCCTTTTTCAGTGGGGTTGAGAAGTGGTTGAATGTGACTAGGCCACGTTTACAGAGAGCGCCCCCCTCCGGCAGGGGGCGGGGGCTATGGAGGAAGAATGAGCCATGGCACGGGATGAAGTAAGCATCCTTCAGGCCAGTGGGGGCTTGGATCATAACCCAGCAGAGTCCAGAGAGATGGGGAACATGGGGAGGAAATCACGAAGTCGAGATTTCAAATCTGGACAAAGCCATCGTAATGCGTCCAGGGACGTGGAGTCCTGAGCACAGATATTAACTGGGAGGGGAATCTTGGAAGGAAGCATTTGTTTTCCAAAAACAACACAGTGTGTGAGAGGGACATTGAAGATCCCTGCTGAGGAGGGGTGGGGAGGCCTGGCCTTTGGCCTCTGAGAAGCCTGACAGGGCCTGGAGTGGGTGCTGTTGGCAGATACTTTCTTATCTCTGCTTGTTCCCAAGGTGGCCTTTCTAGGCGGTGGTCAGTTCTGTGCATTTCTCATGCATTTGCATCTGTGAGTAGACCCCCCACCCCACACAACCTTCACATTTCCCAAACCCTTAGGTGAGACAAGGCTAGGAATGGCTGATATCTGAGGCTATTAGAGAGAACTTTCTCATCAACAAAAACTCGTTAAGCCAGCCAGAGACCATTAAATTTGGAAGAAGTGATGTGCCTGGGATGGATGAATATCACTTTTGTGCAATCCGTGAGAGCTTTGTACCCACTATTAATAGTGACTAATACTGTAGGAGTCTTGTTTGCTGTCCCAGGGAGCCTATAAGGACTTAAGTTTGTGTCCTTTCCAGGCAAGTAGATGCTGTTAACTTCCAGAAAATCCTATCTTTGTCAGAAAGCTGGCTCTGAGCTCTACACACCTCCCAGATAACAGTAGTGGATATTGTGGGCCTGTGGTAGGCAGCAGTGGTGGTACATGTGGAATGACTGCTATAGAGGAGAGCGCAATGCCTGCGAACTGGTATTACTACTGTTGTCACTAGCAATGTGTGAAAGGCAGCATGGTTGGCATGGGCTTGACTATTCCTTTGTACTCTTTCCTTTTCTCTCCCTTCTGCAGCACTGGGAAAAATGGGCCTGGTCCTTTACTCTGCCCAGGCAGCCAGAAGCCCAGACATGGAATCCATGGAGAGGCAGGCATAGATGGCTATTAGCCTGTGTACTAGGGGATTTCTGTTTCCTAGGGAGCTGATTCTTGGGGCCCTGTGTGTGAGTTCTGTGGTTCAGTCCCTGGAAAAGCCAGGGGGAGAGGGCTTGGCCTCCCTGTATGACAGGGAGATCTTGAAGTTTCCTGTGTCTGGGGAGGGACAGCCTGGGTGGCCAGTGGAGACCCTGAGTTCTAGGATTGGCTCTGCCCTCATGAACCTGGCTCTATTTGCTGTATATCTCCAGGCCTTTTTTATTTTGTATTTTGAGGCAGGGTCTTGTTAAATTACTAAGTTGTCCAGGCTGGGCTCAAACCTGTGATCCTCTTGCCACAACCTCTTAGATTTCTGGCATTACAGGTGTGTACCTCACATCTTGGTAAAGTATAATTTTTATGTAAAGGGCATTATGCTAACCAGCTTTTTGTCCCTGTGAAGAAATGCCTGACAGTAACAACTTAAAGGAAAAGTTTATTTTGGCTCACGGTTTCAGAGGTTTCAGTTCATGGTCAGTATCCTCTGTTGTTCTTAGGCCTGAAGTAAAGCATTCAGGAGAGAGAGTGAGAGTGAGAGTGAGAGCAAGAGAGAGAGAGTGACAGAGAGAGAGAGAGAGAGAGAGAGAGAGAGAGAGAGAGAGAGAGAGAAAAAGAGAGAGAGAGAGAGAGAGCGCACATGAGCGCACTATCCTGAGCTGGTGCTTCTTCCTCGTTTCTTTTTTAGTTCCATCAGGGCACCCACCCTACTGGGTGTGTTGCCCTCTCAGCTGGCTGTCCCACACCCCAATCACCTTTGGTAACACACTCACAGACACATCCAGAAGTGTGCACCACTCCTTCCTCAGCCTTTCTCAATCCAATCAAGCTGACACAATTAACAATCATGGATATGCACAATATGATTTCAGTAGTAAGTTTTTACAGAGCTGGAATGTTCTTTGGCCACTTCTTAAACAGACTCTGGATAAAAACTTAGGCTGTAATGCTAAACTGTGGTTCAGGGCAGGTTGTATTGCAAAGTAAAG